ACCAATGACTCTAGCGGTATATTACCTACACACAAATATGTTTTAAGTTTAAACTGTGCTTATTTTAAAGTATACATTACACTACAAGTATAGGCATCAAATGCGTGTAGGTGATAATCCTACAACATAGCGTCCAACATGTGTAAATTAGTTAAAATGACAAACGAAAGGTCAAATGCAGATTTTTGCAGCTAGAACTCTCACAGAAATAGAAAAAAGAAAACAACTTCATTTTTCTTAAGGAGCTTTACAATACACCCATACGTAATGTGGAATTAAATAGATATATATTACTTAAACGAAAAATAACAACATAATAGTAATTAAGGATTGTTAATTTTTAATCATTTTAATAAATGCTTTTTTCTAATAAATATAAATTGATTAAAATTTGGAAATTATTCACATGGTAGTAGCTATTAGGTATAAATTTCGACAAAAAAGGACTTTAACGATTAATATAGATTTGTATTAGTTTTATAAAACAAATAACTACACTGTAATAACCACCAAAAAGAAGATGACATAATTAACTGAGTTTAGATTGGGGTTTTAATGAATGCATTCGTTCCAAGAAAGAGCCAAAGATAAGACTTCCGGTTTCAATGACCCCTAAAGATGCAGGAAGGTGACGCATTCTCAACAAAAGTATACAGTGTTACCCAAAATTATATCTACAATAATAATACATTCAAATGTTTTGTTCTTTTGAATATGTTTTCTACGGAAAGTGATGAACTAATTGAGGATAACCCACTTTAGGTATCGAAACCTATTTTGATTGGAACTGAATTACAAATTGAAATATTCACATAATTATAATTTTGAAGGAGAAACTGATTTTGCGTATAATAATATAAATAAGTAAAAGAGAAAAATATTAAACTGTATGTATTGTTTAAGTCAATGTAGCATATCCAGTAGTGGTACATGGATGGAGTCCCATGGAACTCGACCTCGCTCATGAACATTTCAAAGTGACCATGTGGGTGTACATGATGCAGGCCGCCTGCGTAGAATGTAATATAAATGCAAGACATCATCCTACCCACGCTGAGAAAAAGCATAGACAATGCCATTAAAACCGATACAATACAATACAATACAAGCAGTATTACTTTATAACTGGTAAACAGGGGCGCACATACGGAATTCGAATTAAGGGAAGAACTCAGAAGACTGAGAAAGCACAAATCTAAATATAGTTAGAAAGAAAACACTCGGTTAGTTTCATATATGCATAAATATTTAAATGATGGCAATATTGAGATGCTTGGAATTTTTGTAGCGTTAATTCGATGTATTCATCATCATTATAAGGTCGTCAGTCCTAAGACTGGTTGGACACGCACCTTCACTCCTTTCTATCCTGAGCTAATCTTTGTATTACCCTAAATCTAGAACATCCCACATCCTTAACTATTTGCCAACAGTAATCTAATCTATGTCTACCTCTACTCCTCTTAACTCCTGTTTCTGTCTCTAATATCTCTCTGACTAGACCTTCATGCTTGAGAAGATGTCCTACCAATCTATCTCGCCTGTTTCTTATTGACTTCCATAGAGTCCTCTGTTCTCCTGTTATTTCTCTATCCACGGCATCCCCATGATTCGCCGGTAACACCACATTTCGAACGCTTCTAACCTTTTCTTTTCAGACTTCTTTCTGGCTTTAATCCACTTTGTTTGACTTGTACGTACGCCACTGCCCCTGCCCCTGCATCCACATAAATGTGAGCTATACCAAAATTAGAAATAGTACCTACATAATATAAGTATTTTCCTATCGGAATGAAAACATTATAATTATGACGACTTCTGAGTGGTACAGTCTCAATTTCAATTGCAGCTTTTACAACAAGAAGAGAGAAAGAGAGCTTTCTCTATAAGCTTTGAGTACACAAGTGGAATGTCTGGCAAAGCGCAAATTATATGCAAATTATCATTTAAACGTACCCAATACCTGCCGGTCACACTTCCTCGATCAGTAGGAGTTAATTAATTCATAATTTACATAAAACGTTCTTAATGTTTAGAAGGCGTTAAAAAGACAATTGCTATTTTCGTTTCGTCGCAATACACAAACTATTTAACAAAATATTACGTATTATGTTAATGTTAATATTATACTACGTATTACATACAAATGTTATTGATGGAAGTGGATTGTTTAGTTATATTTTATTTCGATTTTTTTAATGCCTCAAAAATTATCAATATAGAGCTGAATTAATATACCACAATCGAACTTCTTAAGCTCCACATCTTTGCTAGCAAAGAATATTTTTTTGGCCCTTTGACATAATATAGACATTGTTTTACATTATTACTGACGAGTTTTACAATATTTTCACATGTATTATTTAAATGTATAAATTTATATGATTTATTTCTCGGTTTTGCTCAAGTGATTTGAGTCGAAATTTAATCAAAAACTGTAATAAAAATTACAAAAACTAGAACACTCCTACACTAGTCTATTTTCCGGGCAAATTTGATACTTTAGCGAATATTAAAACAACTAAACGTTGCTATAATGATTACTGAAGGAAGTTTTATTGCTTTCCTGCAATTTTGCTACAATCTGACGTAATCAAGATAAATTTAGATTGGTTGCAAGTGTGCTCTTATTTCAACAATAACTTTTTGCGGTTAAAGTAATTTGAATTATTGTTTCTAATAAGTGCAAGAATACAGCTGATGTATGTAATTTCTATTAAAAGATACAAATTTTATCAACTAATTGTAAAGTAAATGTGTTTGTTGATAAGTTAGTAAATTTTGTTTTAAGAAATAAAATATGCCATCTTTTAATTCGATTAATCAATTTTAGAAACTGTAAACAACACTAAATTTGCTTTCACTTCACTTCTTGCCTTATCAGTGCAAAATTCGGCTATAATTAGACTATTTTATAATACTTCCAAGTCCCACGAAATGCGATAACACAGGTCGAGGACTTTTTCGAAATTTATTTGCATGAAGTGACCTACAATAAACAACTGTGTTTATTAATTATTTACAAATAAATTTATATATTTTTTATCAATTACGTAAAATCCTCTCCCATCTTTATAGGCTATCATTTTAGTGTTGAAAACAAGTTTTGATGCGTATTCAAAATTTTGAAAAGATCAAAAATACAATAATTGAAAATTTATTTGTTATTTTGCAGATCGTTTCTAATAATGATGTTTAACTAGATGCTTATAAATTCTATATTTTTCAGCAAACGTAATTGAAACTGTAGAATAACTAAGATTTCTTAATCAGCAGTTTTAATACAATATGGGATTGTAATAACGTGATTTTTGCCTATGTTTTACTTAAAGAAAGAAATGACAGCATAGAAGAAAACCTAAACTTTGGCCTGTGTCAGTAAAGTATAAGTCACCATGATGGGTGGAAAGAACCATGGCACATTATTTAACCATATTTTACACTCATTCATTTGTGCCTCGTATATAAATTCTTCATTATAATTCTTAGAACATCGATAGTAAACGTAATCCTACATAATATACAAGCACTTATAATTATAAAAATTATACAATTCTGTTTTATCTGCCAAGGTCTGACCTCTGAACTCTTCTCAAGTCGTTCTAATTAGATAAGAAGATTTGAAAACGAAAGTTAATGTACAATTTTATTGAAAAGAGAATTCAAATTTTACGCGCTCGATAAAGAATAAAAAGGTCGATTTAAAAGAAAAATTATCATTTTGTATTTTATATGTTCACAAATAGTTAAGGATGTGGGTTGTTGTAGTTTTGGGGAAATGCGAAGATTAACTCAGGATAGGAAAGAGTGGAGGTGCGTGTCCAACCAGTCTTAGGACTGACAACCTTATGATGATGATTTTATGAATGATGCAGTATTACAATACATTATGATGTAACAAGAAATAAATAAAAATTCGCCTTTTATTAAACTCAAACAAATGTTTCGACATGATTATGTATTTTTCAAGAGAGTAATTTCATAATTTTAGCAGCATTTTTATCTTCGAACATTCAACTTCAACAAGTTAATTTTATTTATTTCATATGAATGAAAATGGCAAAATTGTTGTTTATTGTTTAACTGGTAGGATCGTCATTTTTCAAAACAAAAAAAAAATAGCACATTACACATATCTTTTATAATTTTTTAAATCAATTGATCGCCGAGCGCCTCCGCCTTATTTATTCTACGTGTTCATCCTAATCCATAATTCAAAAACGAATTTCGCTTGTTTATAAAAGTATTAATAGATACTAATAAATAATTATTGTTACATAAATACTTTTCATTCTCATATTCACAATTGATCAATCCGCATTTGAACTTATGCGACATGCTGCCAAGATGAGATCATCATTACTGTCATCTCATTTTCTGTACGTTGATTAATAGACGCAAATAAACAAATTGCATAATTAATAATAAACAATAACTAATGAAAAATAAAAATGCTGATTTAACTATAAGAGAAATTCACCTTGCAGAAAATCAACTCGTTTATGTATTATTAATGCAAGATATTAATAATTTAATTGCAGTAGAGACTGCTTAAAAATAAGTACAAACCTTACTTTGATCGACCTCATTACTAAATATGGAGACCAGTTTGTTATCGAACGAATGTGTAAGAAGTGTGTTACATAATTTAACCTTTGGACAAAAAAAGTATCGCGAAATCCATTAATTTTCTTAAAAAAAATACAGTTCAGGTCCGCGAAAAAATAAATAAAACGTTAATACAAAACCCACATTTAATTGTAAAGCACGGAAAAAATGGTTGAGATCTATTTACCCTTTAATTCTCTGAAAATAATAATTTTTAAAACTGTTCCATTTAAATTAAATTTGTTGTGCATTTCCTTATGATAACCAAAGACGATTACAAAATTATTTATTCAAATTGAATTTTAACTAATGTCTATAGTATAAATTGATAAAAAAATTAAAAAGCGTATAAAAAATCATAAAAGCCCTTAAACGCAATTGTTCCTTACTCAATGACATGTATTAGCACAATTTACAACTGCATAGTTAATATCAAATTAACTATGGGTATATAAACAAATATTAGTAATTTTTTGATGGATAGAAAAGGGAAAAATTGTCAAAACAACCCAAAGCTCGTTATAAGAAGGTTACCCCCGTTTTTTACCTTAAAGGACTTCAAGGAACACTTTAATCCCTTACCGGCTTACACTTACTTTTATTTTGTGCCAAGTGAAGGTAATGAAGATGAAATAGCGTTATATTCCAGAGCATACATTCAATTGACTGATTTAGAAAATATATTCAAATTTCGAGATAAATACGACAACAGTGTTATTGTAGGACCTAAAGGTTCGTATAATATTCACTCATTTAAAATTTTTTTTTGTTAACAACAAATGAAGACTTCATGTGGTAAATCTTCCGAATGGGTCCACTGAATTGGGGATCAATTCACACCATTGCATATCTTAGGTCAAGACCTTTCTAATGATATCGCTTCCAGCTTGCGGCGAAGAAGTTGACTCATTTAACAACAAAAACTCTGTTTGATGTCTTCCCTATAATAGGATGTAGAAAGAGACTTAACCCACTCTACCTAACATAAAACAAAGTAGCATAAGGTAAGTAAGATGGAGCTTCAATTGCTAGGTATTTATTACTGAAATAGGTCAAAAGTCAACTTCTTCTCCGCGCGTTGGGAGCAGTATTTATCGCTTTGTCTCCACTTATTCAATCTTCTCGTTGAATTTAAGGTGAAGAATACAGGATTGTAGTAGAATATGCCCCCTTTCAGCAATTTCCCCCGAAACGATCCAGGAAAATATTCGATAAGGAATGTGGCACGATAGAAGATAATGATTACTACATTTTGTTTTTGCAAAACTTGCAGCGGTTGAAGAGAGAATCCAAATTGAAACCGCCCATTAAATTTAATATCTGTGATAGCACGTCCTCGAACAAAGATGAACTCACGCCGCTTTTGAAGTACATTTCGAAGCATAAAATGCGCCCGGAGAGCAACATCGAATTAAAACAGAAACAAAAGAACAATTGCATAATATTTGTAAACAGTTCAGTTAAAAAATCTGGCGGTAGCAAACGTTTCAATAAGGCCAATCCGAAAAAGAAAATTAAATTTCAACCTAAAATCTCACTGGTGTAAAAAATGTTTTTTTTAGATTATAAGTTTTTTAAACCGAGATACATTTTTTATAAGTATTGTATTATTCAAGACACGTCTTTATAACTATTTTGTATTATTACCTATACACTTAACAATATTGTAAACGGATTATTTTAAATAAACGGTTTTGTCTTCCTCGACTTTCATCTGGTGTCCATCAACAATTTAATGAAATAGGAATTTATTAATTAATATTTATCAATATGTACATAATTGAATTTTGTTTTACAGTCTTGTAAAGGGTGTGCGGAACCATTAAAATGTGACTGCAAAGGTCTGAAGGGAAGACGTGGAGACGTGGGTTTACCGGGTCGAAGGGGTACCATAGGAGAGTATGGTTATATTGGTCCCGAAGGGCCACTTGGCCCCAAAGGGGAAAAAGGGCAAGCTGGAGAAATCGGAGGGGAAGGAGAGAAAGGCTATCGAGTTAGTACATTTTTATAAAAAAAATACATAAAAACTTGTAATGTGTCATTGCGATAATGTTTATTTGTTTTTCAGGGAGATATTGGAGACGCAGGTGTTCCAGGAGAACGAGGAGCTGATGTAGGTTTCATAGTATATAATTGTTACAACAACACGTACTTATTAATTATATGTCTTGTACGTTAAGGGTGCTCCAGGATTACTAGGGCCTGTAGGAATTCCTGGTTTAGATGGATGTAATGGAACAGATGGGACGCCAGGAACACCGGGTACTCGAGGAAGACCTGGAGTACGAGGTCCTGCTGGGCCAGAAGGTTGGCCAGGTCCGCCTGGAGAACCTGGAGAAGGTGGCGGAAACTCAGTTGGGGTTAAAGGAGACGCAGGTATTCCTGGTCTCCCCGGATTCGATGGTCCCGTGGGACCCAAAGGTGGACAAGGATTCAAAGGATGGAGAGGTCCACCTGGTTTACAGGTGCCTATAATTTTTAATTTCAATTTATTTTATAACCTCAACTTTTATATTATTTAGGGACTAGCTGGAGAACCGGGACCGATAGGTGTAAGAGGAGACACCGGTGATTACAAAGTAGGTAATGCGGGATTAGCTGGCGAACCTGGAGATGACGGAGAAAAGGGTGAACCAGGCGAGTGCGACGGGTGTTTGAGGGGTTCTACGCAAATAATTTCCCTCGCGCCCGTGGGAAGTAAAGGAGATCAAGGAATGCCAGGTCCTCGTGGTAGAAAAGGCGACATAGGAGAAAAAGGACCTCCAGTAAGTTTATTACACAGAGTGCTTATCCCTCTTCGAAATTATAAAATGATTAAATTCAACCGGGGAATCTAGTTAAAATACTGAATTATGTATGCTCTCTAGTTTCAAAATTTAAGCTTAATTTCTAAATCACAGCTTTTGATTTTTTATCTCAGAAGAAAATGATCTTCAGGGACTGGTGAAACGTCCTACTTTCAACAGATCTATATATTAATAAAATACTATACAAGGATTTTATTATGTACTTGCTACATATAGATTAAAACTATGTTGTATTCGTAGGGTTTTCTAGGCCCCCCAGGACAAAAGGGCTACAAAGGCGCTCAGGGATATGATGGTCATCGAGGTAAACAAGGTCGTCAAGGTTCAGCAGGCCCTCCTGGTGAAAAAGGTGACAAAGGAGCTCCAGGGTATGAGGGCACTGCCGGTCTAGATGGCATAAAAGGTGAAGAAGGTGAATCAGGAAACGCTGGTCCTCCGGGAGTGCAAGGTATTGAGGGCGAACCAGGCGTTTACGATCCATTCCTAGATGAAGAAGGTAAAACTGGTAACGTTGGAAGACAAGGCGAACCTGGACTACCTGGGCAAAGAGGAATGTCGGGAATACCCGGAAGACCAGGCACGGCTGGACCTATCGGTCCACCTGGCTTTCCGGGACCGCCCGGGCTACCAGGATTACGAGGAAGAAAGGGATTATCCATAAAAGGAGAAAGAGGTGACGATGGTTTACCTGGTTTGCAAGGTATGCCAGGAAAGCCGGGCCCTCCTGGACGTGAAGGTATATTGGGTGAAAAAGGTTTTCCCGGTCAGACAGTTGTCGGACCTCGTGGCGAATCAGGTCATCCAGGGAATGACGGCTTTCCTGGTCCAATGGGCGACAGAGGAGACGTAGGAGTTACTGGGCCGAAAGGATTTCCGGGACAAGGACGACCGATAATGGGACCCCCGGGTGAACCTGGTCTTCCTGGAAAACCAGGTCTGATTGGTGACTTCGGTTTACCTGGATATGATGGAACACCAGGAGACAAAGGTATTCGCGGGGACGATTGTGGCATATGTACACCAGGTAAGTGTTGTAAATACAAATATTTATATAAACAGTAGCAAACTAAATGACAATACAAAATACAATTATTATTATTATTAAAATTTCGAAAAAGTGAAAATAGTGCTAGTTTTGTTAATTGTGTAGTTGTTTAATTAAACCTGCTATTGCACTTTATTAATGTTTAATCTGCCTTATTCTAAACAGGTTTACCGGGTCCTAAAGGCGATCGTGGCGATTCGGGGAGAAACGGAAGACCGGGATTATTGGGGTACCGTGGTTTACCCGGTCCGAGAGGACCAAAAGGCTTAGCTGGAAAACAGGGACTACCTGGTCTGCAAGGGTTAAAAGGTCAAGATGGGCAACCGGGATTACAAGGACTCCCAGGGCAAAAAGGTCCTAAAGGAGAACTTTTACATACAGAATTTCGTAGAAAAGGAGGCGACATGGGTTACCCTGGTTTCGCAGGACTACCTGGATTACCTGGGCCGCCAGGCAGACTAGGGCCACCAGGTTCTATTGGATTGAATGGGTCGAAAGGTCAACGCGGAAACGATGGTTTACCAGGAAGATCGGGCAGAGACGGCTTACCCGGGCTAAATGGAATACCAGGAATTAAGGGAGATATGGCTTCAGTTCCGAAAGATATGTTAAGGGGAGATAGAGGATTTAACGGCTTACCGTAAGTAATGAAATTCCTAGTAAACATAAAACTAATAAGTATATCTATTTACCTTTTTTGCAAAATAGGGGATTTCCGGGAGATCGTGGAGACGATGGAGCACCTGGTGAACCTGGAGACGCAGGTCATTATTTAGCGGCAACTAGAGGTGATAAAGGACCAAAAGGACCTGTGGGTGATCAAGGTGATGTGCCTTATAATATGGAAAAGTACTGTGTAAATTATTCTTTAATTTATTATTAGGTTTGCCCGGTTTCAAAGGTTGGGAGGGTCCACCGGGAGAAAGAGGATTCCCGGGATTACCTGGGCGCACAGGAGCAACAGGATCAATCACTCCTGGACCCGTGGGTCTAAAAGGTTATCCAGGGTTAACCGGTAATGAAGGACCGCGTGGAAGGCCAGGTATTCCCGGCACTCCCGGCTTAGAAGGTATACCTGGATCGAGAGGATTAAAGGGAATGCGAGGTGAAGTGGCATTGAGCATTTTATACGGTGAAATTGGATCTACTGGCTCACCTGGTCTAAAGGGCGAAACTGGAGATGAAGGACCACAAGGGTACCCTGGCAGATCTGGCATTCCTGGTGCTAAAGGTGTAAGAGGACCTAAAGGAGCACCAGGTATAACAGGACTACCAGGGATAAAAGGCTCGAAAGGTCAAAGGGGAGCCATAATACCAGGACCACCTGGTTCCCCCGGTATACCCGGAATGAATGGTTTTAGAGGCCCCATAGGAGAAATGGGTCAGAAAGGTGATGACGGCTTCCAAGGCGAACGAGGTCTTAAGGGTAGTAAAGGTGAAATTGGACCACCTGGAAGACGTGGACCGGATGGCGATGTTGGCCTACCAGGTTTTGCAGGTCGACCAGGAAAACCTGGATTGGAAGGTTTACCTGGATTGCCTGGTGGACCAGGGGAAAAAGGTAATAGAAGGTATTATTATTAAGCCGGTTGTCCGTGTAACCGACAATATTATTAACTGTACAAATTTTTTTTTTCTGATAATACGGCTTCACGCAATTCTGTATTTTGCTTAGAAATTTTACGATTTAACACAAATATATTTTTATTTTTATCTGTAAAATAAACTTTTCGTGGTCTTGTTTTGCCTTTGAACCGTCGCAAGTGACAACGATGTATCCACCTTAATCCTATTTCTTAAGGCAAGCGTCTTTCAATATTTGTTACAAACAAATTGTCGACGATATGTCGTTTGTAATGGATAACCGTACTTGTTAATAAGGACCGCCTGTTTGACGCAGTTGTGTATTGTATATTTAACTTATTAAAATTATAGGACTAGCTGGTACTCCAGGAATAAGTGGTTTACCTGGCCTTAAAGGAGGTAGAGGCCCCAAAGGCATAAGAGGAGAAGTTGGAAACGAGGGATTGGATGGTTTGCCGGGATTACCAGGATTCAAGGGTTTGAGGGGTGACTCCGGCTACATGGGTCGTAAAGGAGAAAAGGGAGAAACCCAAATAAGTGGACCAAAAGGAGAGGACGGTGAACCAGGATTTAATGGTCCACCAGGTTATGATGGTTTACCCGGACTGGATGGAAGTCCCGGACCAAAAGGAGATCAAGGTATGAGCATCTACGGCGAAAAAGGTTTGAAAGGAAAAGAAGGCGAACGTGGAATCCCTGGACGAAATGGCTTACCTGGACCTCGTGGAGAACCGGGAGAGATAGGAAAGCTGGGCAGCAAGGGAGACATTGGCGATCAAGGTGTAAAAGGTGATGTTGGATGGCCTGGAAGAAACGGTTTAATGGGAATCAAGGGGGTAAGAGGGGACACTGGACCAATGGGACCTGACGGCTTTAAGGGTGAGCCAGGTATGGATGGTGAACCTGGATTAATGGGACATCCTGGACTACCAGGAGACGATGGTTTTCAAGGACCCGTTGGACCTGCTGGTCCTATAGGGCCCAAGGGGAAGAGAGGTCTTCCAGGTTTGGCTTTATATGGTGCCACCGCTGAAAAAGGAGACTACGGCGAACCTGGAATGCGAGGGCTTCCTGGCTTTCCAGGGCAAAAAGGAAGTCCCGGATTTCCAGGACCAAAAGGTTAGTGTAGTTTATGTAGTTTATTACATATAAACTTGTTTAGGTAATATGTTTTTCTAAATTAACAAAATCCTAATATCTTCTTCTTTGTAAATAAACAAAATTGACCGTTACTTTTATGTAAGCACTAAAATACCACATTGGTATTTCATGATCTTTTTTAAAGCCATTCTTAAATGTATATATTTGTCTAGTTCATAATAATTTAAAATTGTAGGTGTGAAGGGTGGAAGAGGGGACTTGGGATCTCGAGGATTTGAGGGAGATAGCGGTTTTCCCGGTGCTAAAGGTGGTGTTGGTGATATTGGACCTCCGGGACTTCCTGGAATGCCCGGACAAAATGCAGAACCTGGCGAACAAGGACGGGATGGATTACCTGGAAGGCTTGGAATACCGGGAAGACCCGGTCAAAAAGGAGCACCTGGTGATTACGGATACGAAGGACCTAAAGGTATTGCAGGCATTCCTGGAACAACTACTGCGGGTAGAAAGGGAGTTGTAGGAGACGAAGGATTTCCGGGAACACCAGGCTGGCCTGGCAAAATTGGACTACCAGGCATGAACGGAAAACCGGGAGAGAAGGGCAGAAAAGGTTTACTTGGTGAACCAGGATATGCATCAGTTAGTTTTAAGGGTGAAACGGGAGATGTCGGATATTCTGGACCGCCTGGAGTCCCCGGCGAAAAAGGAGTGGTAGGTACCAGACAGCCTTTTGAAAATACCGTATCGGAATTTCAAAAAATCTTTATTGTTTACCGATATAGCAAAAAATATTAATGTTAATGTTATTATTTGCTCTTTATTTTAAATACTAACGGCAACGATAAGTATTTTTATTTAGATTTTATTATTTTTACAAGATTGGCGACAGCGGACGCGATGGTTTTCCTGGTCCAAGCGGGCCGAAAGGAAGCAGAGGGCCTTCCGGTGATATTGGTCTTCCTGGCTTGCAAGGTTTATTCGGCTTTAAGGGGATAAAAGGGGAGCATGGAGAAATTTCAAATGATATTTATCCTGGCGAACCTGGAGATATTGGATATCCTGGCTTAATGGGGCTTCCAGGAGGAATGGGTTTACCTGGAAAAGCTGGTTTTCCTGGACTTAAGGGAATGCAGGGTCCAGAAGGAGACGCTGGTTTACCAGGACTCCCCGGGCTCCCTGGATTAAAAGGACTAGTTGGTGACTCCGGCTATCCAGGCATAATTGGATTACCAGGCCCTAGAGGTTTTGCTGGTTTGCCAGGTTATCCCGCACCCCCAGCACCTGGACCACCCAACAGGGGCTTTATGTTCACCCGACATTCCCAATCAGAAATTACACCTGTATGTCCCCGAAACACCATCCAAATGTGGGAAGGTTATTCGTTATTGTATTTACTAGGAAATTCTTTGGCTAAAGGACAAGACTTAGGTAAGTATCATATTAAAAAGTTAACTCCAACTTAGGGATCACTCATTTGCGATTAACCTTTTATTTGTGTGATTATTTTAGGCGCTCCTGGTAGTTGTTTAAGAAAATTCAGTACGATGCCTTACTTCTTCTGTAATTTAAACAACCAATGCGAATATGCTCAACGAAACGACTATAGTTACTGGCTTTCGACAAACGAACCAATGCCAGTGATGATGACAACAATTCCAGCAACGGACGTGAGAAGATATATATCCAGGTAAATTTTCTAATATTGTGTCCTATGGCACCACACCAACTGGTTTACTTGTGGCTTCTTCATTTAATAATTTTACAGTTAAAATAATTAACCAACAATAAAAATTTCACTTTAGATGTATAGTTTGTGAAGCACCTACGAGGTTGATCGCTGTCCACAGTCAAAGCACCTCCATACCTGATTGTCCAGCAGGCTGGGAAAGGGCCTGGGTTGGATACAGTTTCCTAATGGTAAGATGTCTTCTGTTCTCTTGTCAGTACGTTGTAACTTTTAAATTTATTTTATAGCAAGTGGATGCTGGTGGTCAAGGAGATGGTCAATCTCTCGTCTCTCCAGGTTCGTGTTTGGAAGAGTTCAGATCGAGACCATTCATCGAATGTCACGGACAAGGTCGCTGTAACTACTACACAACTTCGTACTCGTATTGGTTAGCGACCATCGAAGATTACGCGATGTTCCAGAAGCCCAGAGAGCAAGTATTAAAGCCCAGTATGGACCTTACTTCAAGAATAAGCCGATGCTCGGTATGCATGAGAAAGAAATATGGGGAACCGGTTTCCAGACCCACGCCCGTATCTATCCTGCCGCCATTGGAACTGAAGAACGAATCTCCCCAAAGAAGGCCTTACTATTACCCACCAAGGAAAACATGGCGAAACCGATTTAATCCTGGCCGTTCAAGGCATAGGATCAAAGTATAAACATTGCCAACCAAAGTTTTTCTCTAGTGGATTCTAGTGACTTTTGTGATTACTAATTTCTTTATTTATGAATGGACGGACGTTACTATGCCTACTTATCGTTGCTAAAATTGTATATTTTTTCACATTGTAATGTTAATTTATCTGCCTGTTTATGTATATTATCACTGCCAAATGTTATCGATTTGTATGTACGTTTTTTGTAAAAAAGTTATTGATAAGAGAAATGTAATTTTTTTAAAATAAACAAGTACCTAATCGGTTCTATTTAACAAATAAAATATCAAAATGTAAATCTGACATTCAAAAGTTACTTCTTAGAAAAACGAGCGGTACCCTGGAACCCTTTTCGCAACCCCTAGACAGGTGCAAGCTCCAAGATACCCACCAAATAAAACAAATTGTAGATTTTACTAGTAAGTATTTTTAATTATTATATTTACGATAACAGTTATCATCTTTGGCTAAAATAAAGACACAAATGTAGGTAATAATAAGTAAGTATATGTACATTTTCATAAAAAAAATGCAGAACAAGTTGCACTTCTTTCTTTGCACACTATTAGTGCCTTGTGCTATTGTTAAAAATAATTTTTGTTGAGAAATTAACTTATTTTAGGTACGTAAGATATTACTTCATTAAAGATTGTTGTCGATCAAAATGTAATAAGAAATAAAAATTTAAATGTATAATTCAATAATATGGCACTTTTTTAATCCACGGCTTATAAAAACATCACAAAAATAAGTTTTACTAATTTTAAGTTTAAGTATCGGTAATACAACATTTTATTAGTTAATAGAAAGAAGCTAATGGCAAATCTACAATTTAATACATATAATGATACATTATTATATTTGCAACTACACCTTTTTAATGCAAGTACAAAATTTTTCATCACATTCTAATATACACAAATAATGGTACTCCATAGGTCACCTTCACTTTAAATAAAACAATAACAAATTAAGAAACGAATCGATGAAGCTTTTTACTTTTTTTTTAACTCCACATTAATTAACAACACAACAACAGACACAATGTTTAATTAAAACATAACTTTTAGTGCAAAATAATTTTGCAACCAAACATAGTGTTCGTCGTTGCGCTGTTAATAACAAATTAGTTACATGCATACCTATTAATATTAATAACACGAAATACACAATAATATACATATTTTCAGTTTATGTATACAAAAATAGAGATAACGAATATTTAAACGCACAAGACAAATACATTGTTATAGTAATAAATCTTCTTTTCACTTGTCCTCGCCTTTATCAAATCAGTGGAATTTTTAAGACCAAAAATATCTTACATCTGGTTTACGAATTATACGTAATTAAAGGAGATAATACGGGCAGTTTTTGTGCTATTTATGGATAAACATAGTCCAGCTTGTTGTCCTCGGTTTAGAATCCTAGCCAATTTTATCATACAAACAAATAATCTAACACGTTGCTTGACAACAATACCTACCTACCCATAATATCCAATATTTAATTAAAATTTTTTAAAACTTTATAATTATGCAAACGATACAGTTAAGTCTGTTAAATTTACATTAAAATGAGATCATGAATGTAAAATTATTTATATCCTAGACGTCAATACGCTGGAGGTCCTGAGAATCATGACTCCCCATAATAATTAAAAATTTAAGATATGAGGAATTATAAAATTCTATTATATATTGATAAATCGTATGAAAAAAGGTTGTAATTTAAATATTGGCCATTAAACACGTAAAAAACTGAAATATATGCATAATCATTTTAAATGATTTGCGATTCAATAATTTTTGGGCAAGATTCTTTCTACCTTTTACTAATTAGACAAAATTCTGGTATATTACTGAACAAAGAATAATTTAAATTCAATAAAGTATTTAATAACTAATATATTTAGAAATTGGAGTAGGTATAAGAGTTTTTTATGTTAAATTTATAATTTTCATGTCTTCAAGTGTAAACGTTTCCAAGTTATGTTTTAGTGAAAAAGATATTTAATTGTTAAAAAATTACATCTGAATTTGAAACATTAGTTTTAAAACTAATAAAAAACCTTTACAATTTTGCACTGGTTCTGATTTCTACACATTTCCCTCCTAGTAATTTCGATTTGAATAAGTTTTCATATTGGTCCTGGTGCATTACATTAATTAACTAGCAATAGTTTACTGATATAGCGATTGCAAGAATTGCCAACCACATTTTATTCAACAAAACAGATAAGAGTACGTAGACAAAAACATGACGTTTTAGATTTTGAATGAGATATGTTGCGACTAAAACGTTACCTAAATCAAACGGTACTCAAACCGTTTTCTATTACCAATTGTAAAGATTGCGATTCTTCTAATATCGATTCACTTAAATAATGTCGTATTTTGGGTGGTACATACAGTTGTTTCAGGTGTTTTTTGTCCTTGATTCGTTTTACTATAACGTCCCTGCACCTGTCCTGTAAATTCACAAAATCCCTTTTCATTGTAACTAAGGACATCTCTGTTTTCGCCGCAGTTGAAGAAACGGCAGGATACAATGGTTCTTCAATCTCGTTCAAACCCCTGAAGGCTACCCCTAAACATTTACCGTCTTTGTAATAGGTCAAAGTTCCTGCAATCCCGTCAAAAAGTACGCCTATGATTGTTCTTCTGTTTTCTCTGAAAGGTTTCGTATAAAAATACGATCGTCCTCCGTGCCAAAGGAGTCCTTTATGTGACAACCCCCAACTGTTGTTATCTTCCCCTAAGATGTTTATAAAGCCTCCTGCATGGAGACGTGTCTTTTTTGTCCCAATACCCATCATCATGCTAGTCCCGAATAATCTTCGGGAAATTTCTAGTTCCCAGAAATACCTACCGTTGTTTAAAATCCTTGTGCCCATAACCCCCGCTGTACCATTACTCCAGTTAGGGTGAAAATGGGCTATTCTAAGGTAACTACCGTATAATTTTACTTCTGGACTTTTTTCCCATAAACTCCACGACCATAAATCGTCACAACCATGACGTAATGGTCTTTCGGTTGACTCTGTATTCATGTCTGAAGAATCCAGTTCCCATTCTGATGGACCTTCCCAACAATTCACAATGGGAAGCCTAAAAGTTTTTTGGCTTTGATTCTTACAATAATAGTCTTTTTACATGATTATATTTTCATAAATATGTCCTCCCCAAAATAAAAATATCGGAAAGTTGAAATAAATGCAATAAAATTATTTGTTACCATTACATAGGTAGATTTTCTATAGAAAGAAATTTTTACAAATTTGTTTATTAAATATTAAATGATAATAATGTTAAACCAAATACACGTAGTTATTAAGAACAGATTACTTATGAACTTAATTTATTTAAAGAGAAAGAAAGTTTGTTTTTTCAGAATTCTTAGTAATTAAATAATAAGAAATTAATTAATAAATAAAGGGAAATTAACTNTTTTCTATGTAGTTTAGTGTGAATATTATAAAATTGATGGACTTAGGGACTGGTATAGGCCACACACAATTCAATAATCCTTTATATAAAATAACTTTCAAGAGATTTTTAAGTATATTTACACTTTTTTACAATAAAAACAGTTAGATAGAGTATAAAATATTGTTTACAGTACAATTTCCAACTTATTCCATTTTGATTTCTCTGATTTCGAAAAGAATGTTCTTTATTATTCAATTATACAAACATCAATAAAATTATTTCTATTTGTCCTTAAAAAGTCAACCAAACTTTGTTTATTAATTTTTAGAAAACCAATAAATTACCTATTCACCTTGTTCACAGATTTAATTTATAATATAATAAATAAAAGCGATTGTTGAATTGCGATTACTACAACAAATTCTTTTATAATTTTCATTTTTCCATTTTCAATTTCCAATCAGAATTAATTTGTATTAGTAAGTAATAATAGTCCCTAGTAATTTGTCATTCAAGAACAATTATTGGCAACATATCTTTATTGCTAAGTATGTTCTATTTGCAGCTTTTCTCTTTTTAAAAAGATTCGGAAAATTCGTAATTCTAACTACTAACACACAATACGATAACAGTAAAATAGTGATTTGTTTATTTTACGTACCGATCAATAGGTAACTCATGCATATTACGTCGGGTTTGCTGTATTGTAGCCATGTTTTCCTCTTCGTTCACAACTATCACTGACGGTTGGCTTCTGATAAGTGCGCCGCGACGCTATTAGGGGTGCGCCGATATGACGTCACCCTATGTGAATAAACTTTGGATGGCAGGTGTAAGGGTGCAAGGACGCGCTGCAATAAAATTTCCGAACAATCAGTTTCTGGTTACTGATTACCAAATAGTTGAGGTACGTAAAAGCCTAGAGTCCAACAATTTTTGAGGACCAAGTGGATGATTAGCTTACCAAAATTTAAACAAAAGCGCTCGTCAAATGATTGGGAGATAGAAAGTATTTACTAGGCTTTAAGCAATTACAATAAGGTAAAAAAGTACGTAGAATCTCATGGTACCAATGGTTTTCAAGTTCGGTGTGAATTTAGTACTTTCCGGTCTTATTTTTACTAAAATACACAAAATAATTTCAACATAAAAAGCGCTCGTGAAATGATTAGGAGATGGAAAGTATTTACTAAGTTTTAAGTAATTACAATTATGTAAAAAAGTACGTAGAATTTCATGGTACCAATGGTTTTCAAGTTCTGTGTGAATTTAGTACTTTCCGGTCTTATTTTTAGTAAAATACATAAAATAATTTCAACCTAAAAAGCGCTCATGAAATTATTGGAAGATAGAAAGTATTTACTAGGCTTTAAGCAATTACAATTATGTAAAAAAGTATGTAATGTAAAGTATGTAATTATTGCTTAATTTACAGAGAATATACCTCCGTTTATAATTGAATTTCTGTTTCGGTAAAATATTATAATGTTCTCTCCAGATTAATAATAAACAACACTGAAGTATATTAAATATTTTATTCATTTACTTAAATAATAGACCACAATTTCTTTAAAGTGTACCCTTCTTTAAGTGTTTGTATGGCAAGTCCAAGCTCTGGTGAATAAACGTGAGTTTTCTCTAATTCTTGGTTTGATGCAGCATAGGCTGAAAGTGCGTCAGCTGTATCTTCTTTGGATTCTTCTATTCGAAAATCTTCTGCTACGAAAGGCGTTTGAAAGTTAACTTGACTTTTGTTTTGCCATCTGCATTCGACACCATACACAGGATTTTTGCAAAATACCGAAAAGCGTGATTGTAGCTCTTTATCTACGACATCCAACTTTTCATCACTGTCCGTTTTAAAGCCCAAAATAAAACGGCCGCCAAGTTCTGTAACTTTTATAACAAGTGCGAGCCCAAATTTCGAATTTTGTTTCCTTATCTATAATATAAATCTTTGTTATATACTTATTTAAACTGCAGTATATAATGGTTTGAGCTTCCAACATACACTGGACAGTGTGAACATCGAATAACCCCCCATAATGTGAACAGCATCTTATTCAGGTATGTTTGACCACCGTATACCGTAAAGAAGCTAATGCTTCTATTATTTGTAGAAACAAATATCTATTTAGTTAATTATGGTTGTTTATTAACGTTCACAAATTTATAATGTGAACAACTGGTGTTTTTTTCTGTTCACACTATCGAGTATCTACTGTGTACCTATTATAGAAAAATTCTTACATCATCGACTTGAACGTAGGGTAATGACACATTAAAATCTTCATTTAAATTTGCGAACCAAACAAGTCTTATATTTGTTATTATAAATGTTCCGAGACAACCCTGGTCACAAGACAAGTTCCACATTCCATTAACAACGCTTGAAATCGTTTCCGATGGTAGTATGCGTAACTGTTTGTTTTGGAGAAAAGCTCCCCGAAATTTTATTTCTCTATACATTTTTGTCAGTAAATACGATCTAGTAAAAAAACATATTTTTAATGTGGATAAAATAAAATATTAGGTGCACCTAGGATTGTATATTTAATTTAATTCATAACATTTAAACAAACAGATTCATTTTGTTTTGATTCTCAATCTTCAAAAGTAAAAATAGACAAAAAATAACAATGTTTACTATTTTTTTTAACTGTTCAAACAGTATCATTTTATTCTTCCAGTAATATGCATTACAAAACCCTCTATCCGTGTATATTATTTTAGGGGGCATGAGGGATAATATTTTCGTACATTTTAGGTTTCTTTATGGTTTTAGAAATAATAAACAGAGAATATTATAATTGTTTTATGTACCTGTAGATATCAAGAACTGTTGTAAATAATCTCGAATCGTTGATATTAAAACTAACAAAAACGAATTCGTATTTAGTTAAGTTATAATGAGCATAGAGAGTTAAGGCCTTTGTAGAACCTTTGGTTTGCTAAAAAATAAGATCATCTTAGTCCTTTCGTACCCAAAACAGTTGTATAATAATATTAATTAGATTTGTTTTATTATTATAACATAAAATTTTTTGTAAAATTAAATAAGTTCTATACTTACAGAATTAACTGTTTTTGAACCGATGTTTGTTATTGATTTGAATCCAATTCCTAGGAAAACAATGGGACAGATTACATTAAAAAATGATGATTATGTAANATTTTTTATTTTTTATATACTCTCTTGGGTACTCAATTATACTCGCAGTTATTGTATATAGCAATTGGAAGGAAAGAAGTGAATTAATATCATCGAAATTAATTACAAATATTAATTCATAAATTTTTACACAATGCTTATATTTTAAAGATTGATGGACTTAGGGACTGTCGTAGGCCACCCACAATACATCACGGTTTAGAAGTGGACAAGTTTTTAAAGGAATTTATATTTTTATAATATTAACTTGCAAATAAAGTTAGAAATAATCCTTACCTACGTTCGTAAAAACATTACCAACGCAATACCAAACTAATCTCAAATTTGTAATAAACATAACTCCATTTTCTCCTTTATTTCCTTTAAAATCTTCTATGTTTTCCAAACTATCTAATATTTTTTCTCCGTTTAGTAAACTCATTTCACTGTATTAAAAAAACGAAAGAACGCATTATATGTACATAATTTTTAAACTATTTAAAATAATGCATTATAATGATTACCCAATTCACACTTTTACAGATATAAATAAATCATTTTCCAAAATTATATATTAAAAAAAATCGTGCAACACTTACGAATAAGACATATCGAATCGTAATTCAGTATCAGCCCAAGTTGCCATTTTTTAAAGGTCGATTTTGCTCAAATTTTGTTTAAAATTTATTTAGTTTTAACATAAAGTTTGTATGAAGAACTTTCAATACAAACATAAGAAAATTGTAACGTCGAAATATTGATCAAGCTTCACGTAAACTTTCATAACTAGCTACCTACACTAAATGGTAATATTCTATAAATTTTGAAACAGGTAATTCTGGAAAAACTTAATACGGGTTTTATTAAATTTTACGTGAAATATGTACCTCTTGTTTCATACTACATACTCCAAAAAATGCGTCTTCTTACGTTAAGTTTAACAGTAGAAATTGAATTAAAAAAAAGCAGTGTAATTATCCAAGGAAACAAAAACTATTTATAAAACGTTTATTTCGATTTATTACTTTGAAGAATATATTATCTTATATTTCATATATTATAGATCAATAGAGAAACCATTTCAATTGGGTCCTAACATGTTTTCAGGTCTAACCCATTGATCAAATTGTTCTTCTGTAATTCCAGCTTTAAGTGCAGATTCCTTAAGAGTCAATCCCTCCTTATGAGCATATTTCGCGATAGCCGCGGCTTTATCGTATCCTACATGGGGATTTAAAGCTGTTACCAACATCAAACTTTCGTTCATAATCCTCTTAATATTTTCTCTGTTTGCCTGGATACCATCAACACAATTTTGGGTGAAACATTTACTGGAATCGGCTAATAAACGTATAGAGCGAAGCACATTAGCGACCATAACAGGTTTAAAAACGTTCAATTCGAAATGACCATTTGAGCCACCAACAGTTACAGCCACGTGATTACCCATGACCTGGGATGCTACCATCGTAATCGCCTCACATTGCGTTGGGTTGACCTTACCAGGCATTATAGAACTGCCAGGTTCATTTTCAGGCAGTGAAAGTTCACCCAGACCACAACGTGGACCTGAACCCAAAAATCTACAAAAAAAGTTTCTGTAAATACTACAGAAAGAACCTTTTAATATTTGTTAGTACAAAGATAATAGTTTTATTACAAATTACACATAACAATTTAATCGAAACTTATCACAAAAAAATATATACAATAGCCAAAAATAGACAATATTAATTTTAATTCTTCTAACGTAAATATATTTTACGTTCTTAGTTGTTGTAATAGAAATGAAATGTTGTAGTTACCCTGCCTAATTACCTAAGCTTTATTTTTTTTTGTTCTTATTCCTTATTTTTGATATTATAATGGACACAATATTTTCAATCTCTTACAAAATGAAGTTCACCTTATATCATTAGCTATTTTCATAATGGAACAGGCGATAACGTTGAGAGCTCCGGAAACCTCCACCATCGAGTCGTGGGCGGCAAGTGCTTCGAATTTGTTGGGCGCCGTCACAAACGGTAGGTTTGTTAATTCAGCTATTTTGGCTGCGACTTTTTCGGCAAACCCTTTTCTTGTGTTAAGACCTGTGCCAACAGCGGTACCACCTAGGGCCAACATATAGAGACGGGGTAAAGTTGCATTTACCCGATCTATTCCGAAAGCCACCTGCTGGACGTAACCACTAAACTCCTGTCCAAGGGTCAGCGGTACAGCGTCCTGGGTATGTGTCCTCCCTATTTTGATGATGTCCTTAAACTCGTCTGCTTTTGCCTGCAAACTATCACGTAACAATTTCAAGTTTGGTAATAAGAGATTATGGATTTCGAGGGCTACAGCTATGTGCATAGCACCGGGAAAAGTATCGTTACTGCTCTGGCTTTTGTTCACGTGATCGTTGGGATGAACAGGATCTTTGGAACCAAGTTTTCCTCCCAAAATTTCTATGGCTCGATTACTTATTACCTCATTGGTATTCATGTTAGTCTGCGTACCGGAACCTGTCTGCCAAATAACCAGAGGGAAATGATCGTCGTAAAGTTTCCCGCTGATAACGTCATCGGCAGCTTTTGCTATTGCATCGGCTATTTTAGGATCTAATCCATATTCTTTATTAACTAATGCAGCTGCTTTCTTCAATGTTCCCATGGCTGTAATGACTGGATATGGCATTCTTTCTGGACTACCGCCAATTGGGAAATTGATTATAGATCGAGCTGTTTGTGCCCCATAATACTTGTCTGCAGGTACTTTCAGCTCCCCAAATGTGTCTTTTTCTATTCTAAAATTGCTCTGAAACAATATCACATTATTATTACTATTACATGTAATTTTATCATAATGTTTAACATCTGGCGCAACTAGATATTTCAAATTAATCGCAACTATTTCAAACTTATTTACTAAAGGAAATATAACACAGTAAACATATTTTACCATTTTTATCTTAAAAAATAAGTACGTTTCTGTAAATGTTTACACAATATAAATGTTTATGCAAACACAATCGTTAGTACGCAAATAATGACTGCGATTCTGAAATGAAACAAGCAGAAGTAATTAAATAACTTAACAATATGACTCTTTTTTCATTAGCCATTTACATTATTTGTGATTATGGAAAGCAAATTAAGTTTCAGGAATTCAAAACTTTGTTTTTAAAAACGTTTATTAAAAACTAGAAATTACAATCGACTTCCTTATTAGAAGGATGAAAAGTAACTTACTCTAAAAACTATTCTTTCTTTTCTCTACACATAAAAAATGAAAATACATAATACATATATAAAAAAAATGATGAGGCATTAGATTTAATGCAATACATAGAACATACGAGTAATATAATACTCAATGCTTAGCGTGTGAAATATAGGTGAATATAACTCCTCCCGACGTAGATATGAGCCAAGGTCCATGAGAGCTTGCGAATTTAGATTTAGACTATAATTGTTTCATTCTCTTTTTCCTTTATCTTCTTTAGTTTTGCTAGCGAAGCTTTTTTAAACACATAGAACAGTAACAGTAGCACTATGATGATATACAGGGTGATTGTCCAAACACTGGCCTTATGAATGCTTATATTTGGCACATTTAATTCTTTTATATTCTTCTCTTGTAAACTCAATGCATTTTGTATTTCTCTAATATTATTTAGACCAACAGGTTTGAGTGTAAATAATTCGAAATTGACGGAGAAGTCATTATCATTTTTAAACACAAAATTTAATTTTGGCAGTTCAATATTTTTAAACACTAACTTTGGATGATTATCACTTTTTAGTTCGATGTTCTTTAGCATTATTACACAGTTGATGTCTATTTCCACAATGNCTTTCATAAAACCGGTACAGCAGCAATTTGATCACAGAACAACCCTATAGTAAACAGTCGTTTGTCAGCTGTCAGTAAATACAAAATAACACTTAAAAATTTAATTAAAATAATCTTGTTTTGTTGTAAATTATCAAAAAAAAATTATTTCTACCAATTGTAATACTTGTTTTTGCGAGAAGTTTAAAATAACGTGTTAGTCTCTTTTTTAACATTTAAGTAAAACGAGTTCATTTTCTTAAGTTTTGCAACAGTGCTTATTTTACATTTATCTCGTTTTGACTATTTATGAATATGCAAGGTGTTAATTAAAAGAAAACGACTAAATAAATAAATAACACGTTATTTGTACGGAATTGTATTAAACTTAATTTTATAATCACAACTTAAACTAATTGTAAGTTGGTACAGGTATAATGAGATCCTTGAATACATTTGGATGAGACATCATAACATAACCTATCATCAAACTCATCAAACTGTCAGTAGATTAATCAAAAGGCAAAGAAGTAACGTGATTATTAGTTTTTGTGCATTTTATTAGTCGTACACGTACATATAATGTCTGCGATTACGAATAAGATAATTTTTTCCACACTTTTGTTTTTCTTTGCTGCTCCATGTTATTTAACAAATTCTCAATCAGAAATTCCACGTACTACTAAGTTTAGCCAAAGTGTAGGAAGCCCTACAATGAAATTTTTGTATTGGTATGTAAAAAGAAATTAATGAAGTGCCCTGGTTTGTAATTATTACCGTTTTTCTTTTTAGTTATTCATGTGGTTATAGAAAAGCTTTTGAAGAATATTCCAATATAATTCACCAAAAATACCCTGAAATTCTTATTGAGGGTACAAATTATGAACCCCCAGGACTAAATATGTTTTTTTCACGGTTAATTGTAAGTAGTATTTACTTTATTATTGTGGCTGTTTATTCTCATTAATGTTCCTTTTTAATTTTAAAGGGTGTTATAAAAATTATGATAATACTATGCATAATTGGGAGAGTTAATATTTTTCATTATTTTAATCAACCCCAACCATCTTGGTGGTCATGGTGCATGGAAAATAAAATATATGCCTGCATGATGCTATTTTTTGTTAGTAAAATATTTGAAGACCAATTATTACAATCTGGAGCATTTGAAATTTCTTTGAATAATGTTCCTGTTTGGTCAAAAATAGAAACTGGAAGAATTCCACAACCTGCTGAACTGTTTCAAATTATTGATAGTCATCTTCAATTTACAGATAATTTAAATAGTGGTTTTGCTAAATAAATATATTTTATATGATGAAAATAGAAGCTTAACTATTGTTTAAATAATTATGATAGATGAATATTGTCTGAAATTCATTCCATTTGTGTACCTCAATGTACAGAAGTCCTTTCTGTGTTTTAATAAAACAATTCTTTTGTGTTAACAACAACAATATTCTGCTAAAATAATAATGTATCACATTTAGATGTTATGAATAAAAAAGTGATAAATGTTTTTATGTATTTTATTGATTATTATTCTTACAGTTTATATAAGTAATTACAAAGGCTATGATAGGGTAAGCTGGGGTAAATTAATAAGGAAACTACTGATTTCATATATTTCTTAATGAATTTACGTTGCTAACGTTTTATGTTTGACTTTTTAATTTTTAATTTACTCAGGTGTTCAGTTATACTCGCATTTTTTGTATAAAGAAAGGAATTAATATCAATATAATTTGTAAATAA